CTTCTACCGGCCCTACCTGCAGATCTTTGGGCAGATCCCCCTGGACGAGATTGACGGTGAGCACCAGCCCGGGCGGCCCCAGGGGCAGTCGCACTGTGACCAGCTTACCAGGTTCCTCCTCGACACCAGCCCGGAGCTGGCCGAGCAGGGACGTCCTGAGCCGGCCCCCGGCCCCTGCACACGCCCAGGGCAGGCACAGCCCCGACCTCAGGCTGGAGACAGATACCAGGAGGCCGGGAGGTGGCCAGGGCTGGTCTCCTGCGGGGCGGCCTTGCTCTGGGTGGTCTGTGCAGGCCGAGCAGGGGACAGGTGTGCAAGCAGTGGAGGCCACCCCCGTCCGCCCTGACCATGGCCGGAGTCTGGGCTCCGCTGGCTGGCCCCATGAACCTGGGCGTCCGCCCTCCTGCACGACCCGCTGGGCAGCGAGTCTCCTGTCACCCCCACCCAGGGGCCCCCCGGCCCAGGCCTGCCTGCTGGAAAGGCCTCCATCCCAGGGCCACCCCCTGTGCGCCTTCCCTCTCCCAGGGTCCCTATCCCAGGGCCACCCACTGTGCACCTTCCCTGTGGTGGGGGGCTGGCCCCTGTGCCTGGCGGGGGCATGAGGCTCTGAGCATTTCCCACAACAGGGACCGGGTGGGGACAGAGCTGCCTGGCTGAGCTGCAGGAGAAACGGGTGGGGGCTGGGACAGCAGCACAGGCCCTGGGGTGGTGGCATTCATGAGGGAGGAGAGGGGGGACAGGGCCAGCCCCTGGACAAAGGTGGGCTGCAGCCAGGTGCCAGGGGAGGGCCCGGACACCAGCCCCCGGGGGCACTCCCGGGCCATCACGGGCTCACTGGGTCGTAGAGGCTGACCCTGACCTTCCAGCTAATGAGGCAGAGCCGCGCGGTAAATATTTGCCCAGAGGACGGCGCGTGATGGAAGCCACAGTCTGGCAGGAAGGGGAGGCTGCGTCAGGGACGTGCCCCCAGCTGGCGCCCGAGAGCCGGCCCCGCGGGCTGTTTTCCTGGCCCCCTGCACCTCCTCCGTGTCTGCTCATCCGCAGCCTCGTTTTCCAGGCCATTAGCTCAGCAGACCCGCTGCCCTCGCCATGGCCCCGGCTGGGGGACGGCGCCACAAGCCCCAGGCAGGAGGGGAGCGAGGGGGTCCCTCCAGTGTGTGTGGGGGGCACTCCAGCCCGTGACCGCATCCCTGGCCGCCTGTCCCAGCACAGGCTGGTCCGGGCGAGAGTGGTGTGGCATGGGGTCCCCTGGGGAGGCCGAGGGCATGAGACTCCTGAGGCCTGACCTGCCACCGTGCTGGGCAGACAGACCCACCCGCAGGGGAGGGGAACTGGGATCAGGGCGCGGGCTCAGCAATCCTGGCCACTGTGGGGAGCCCGCCAGGTTGTGGGGGGAGCGAGTCACTGCCAGGAGGGCCGAGAGGGAAACTGAGGCTGGGGCAGCCTCCCTGCTCTCGGCGCCAGGCGGGGGGGCCTGGGCTGAGCTGTGACGGCGACAAGTTAATTTGCAGCCCGGCCTAGCGGCGCCTGGGTGAGCCAGGAAGCTCCGGCCTCATTACCCGGAGCCGCTTTAATCGAGATTTACAGCTTCACAAACATGCCACGGGCTGCGGCCCCTGGGAACCGGCAGGGAGCGGGGTCAGGAACCAGCCCGGAAGGAGGGGGGCAGGAGGGAGGTCGCTGCGCTGCCCCTGGGTCCCCGGGAGAGAGGAGGGGGACGCAGCAAGGAGGGCATGGTCCACGGAACAAGCCCAGCACCCCACGTCTGCAGTGGTGGGGACACAGCACAGAGACCTTTGTGTCACCTGCGAACGGTCCATCCATCGTGCAGGCTGTGCACGCCCCCACAGGCTGCCCACTGAGGGGCTGAGCACCCGGGACCCCCACGGCCGCCTCTGCCCAGGGCGGGCGCCCAGCCCGTCCCAGACGTGCTCCCCCGATGGGAATTGGTGTCAGAAAAGCTGAGAAGTCCTGCCCCTGCCAGCTCATCCCATC